TGGTTATATTTTCACCATCAGCAATCTTGTATTTTAATCTATACAATTAATCTATTGTAATATCTAAGAAAGAATGGTGCTTTTTTTAAATTGTTAAAAGTAAGAAAAAATATCCAAAGTAAGCTAACACATGAAAGAGAAAGCCATGTATCAGAAAACTTTACTTTTTTCATTATTAATCATTTCACCCCAAGCAAGGCGATAAAGCCACTAAGACACAATGAGTTACTGAGTGTTTTAGAGAATATGAGAAAAAACACTATTAAGGAGAGAAAGCAATAAAAAAACAAGAATTAAGAAGATAGATGATAATGAATGATTGACATTGCATTTAAATTTTTGACGATTAAAGTTGACTGGAAAGTAAGAAGCCAGAAGAGAGTTCCACAAGTGAGAAGTGTGAGAGAAGAAACTTTTACAATTGAGATGGCCAGATGTAACCATAAGTTCTATGCTAACAGTTTCTTCTATTGCACTTCATGCTTGTGGAACTCTCTTCTGGCTTCTTGCTTCCCAGTCAAGTTTGATTTTTAAAAATTTAAATGCAGTGTCATTTATTATCTTTTATGTCTTAATTCTTGTTCTTTTATTGTCCTCTCTCCTTGATATTAGTTTTTCTCATATTCTTTAACACTCAGTAACTCCTTGCGTCCTAGTGGCTTTATTGCCTTGCTTGCAGTGAAATGATTAAAAGAAAAGAAAAAGAGTATGTTCTCCAATAATAAATCATGATAGGTTTTCTGGTTCTCTTAATCATCTCACTATATAGGTTTGGATGAGTTTACTGACAAAAATAATTTTCTTGCTCCTCATTCTATTTTTGCACATTCACTGAATTTGTCTTCTATCCACATCTTGTTACCTTAATGGATTAATCTTGTTATAAGGAGGAGATAAGACCATGTAATCTGTAGCAAAATGCATTAAGGATTGTAATGGATGTGGTTAACACTTAGATGTGACTGAAAAGTTTCAAAAGGAACATAGATTCAACACATGCAGGATTTGTATTCATATATTAATATAATGAATAACCTAACTCAGAAATTAAGAGAAAATTATATTTACATGTATACAAATAGTTAATAAAAAAAAAAATAAAGAAAAAGGCTGAAAAACATTTGCAAGCTTTAACAGTTTTGTGTGTGAGTGCACCATGTGGTTGAGTTGAAATTAAGTAGTTGGATATGCACATCTGCCTCCTCTGAGTGTGGAGACTGGACAATGTCTTTTACCTACTGTATCCTATGGGTGATAGAGCAAAAGAAAGGAAGTGGTTACATGTCTTCCTTTTATGTCTTGCATACAATGCCACCTAGTGGTTATCCTAGTAGACAAGGTAGAGTAATTCCTCAAACTGATGAATATATGTCATCTTGTGTTTTATGTTATAGAATGTAATTTGATGAGTTGCTTCATATATAAATCACTATTATTTCACAATGACTTACTTCAAAAGTATCAGAATTTTTAACAATGGTTTTAATAGGTTATTTTTTATTGTTACTACAGTTTGCCAGTGATAAGATTAGATCAGATATCTGGCAATAGGATGGAGCAAAGAAATGTAGTTTCTTATTTTTCTCCAGGGTATTGGTACTAAGTAAGCATAACTGGCAGCAACTAAAACTCATTCTCTGCTGATTTTGTTCTGTGATATCTTGGAACTTGGGGCTAAAAAAATTGCCTTGTAATAATTATTAAGTTTTTACTTTTTAAGAAAATTTAACTGAACAATATGAACAGAATGTATCTGAGTTGTAGTCAAATCAGTTGAAACTCTTTCTACAGATGTTAAGTTTTCTTTTTCTTCTGTGTTTATTTTCTGTGTCATTATATACTCTTTGGGATAAATGTAAATTTGATGTATTTGTTTAATAAATCCTACTTGTGAGGCACGGACAGTGTAATGGTTATCGGCATGGAAAGTAAGTTTGGTATGCCAAATTCAGTGTCTGCTTGGAAAAGGTATGAATCTATTTCCTCCACCTAGGGATTCGATAGCAGGACAGACTGGACTCTCTTATCTTGAAGTGGTAACCAGTCTAGGAGATGAAAACTGAAAAAAAATAGAAACTAACTTGAAGAGGTATGGGCTTCATCAGTCTATCTTGCTACAAACATACCACTGCTACTATGGCTGTAGTGCATTATATTGCAGATAGGTAAATTAGCATAAAAGTTAATGTCTTTTTAGAAAAATTCAAGTAACATCTAAGATAGAGAAAACCAACTCTTACCTTGAAAATGAATTTGTATTCTCTGTGCTATTTGCCAAAAAAATAAAAACAAGATAGTTTACTTTAGTATGGCCATGAAATATGGTCATTTTTGCACTTGTCTCCCAATCTTGACCAATCACAGCCTTTCTTACTTGAATAAAAGAATGCTACTTTGGATGACAGCAAGATTCTTAGTTCTTGATGTGTAAAGTAGTTGGTAATTGTGAGTTTTGATTCCTTTTTATTTACTAACCTGGCATTATTGACTTTGGACTCTCAAAACTGATTAATGACCTTTTAAATTATGACCCCGGATTTTGTATTTTTGGGTCTGACCCAACCCTTGTTGATAAAATAACAGGTTAGGGGGTGGGTATGGTACTCATGACATGATGACTTGTGAAATAAAAGATTTTATAAACAGGAAATAAACATAAGAAATACTCCACTTTCACAATCTGACATTATTTAAACAATAACCAACAAAGATTTATGTTATTTTTTTTTACATATAATAATCCTAAAAGTAAAATAACTTTTGAGATCATCTACTTTTCAACACTTACAACACACAGATTTTTGTCAATTAAATCTTAACAGAAATGAGGTGAAATAGAAAATCATCAAATTTCAGATATAAATCAAGTACAAGTTCCAGACTTTGTGCAATTAACATTATAACGGAAAATATGAATCGCCAAGTGGCTGAGCTAATTTTAAAACGGCAGCAATAACAGGGAAAAGCAAACAGAAATAGCACTAACAAAGGGATTACCTCCCTTTGTCAGTGCTATTTTCATGGGCATAGAATTGAAGTAAATAGTGGTCACATGGTTGTAAATGCTAAGAGATAAAACTGAAAATGAAAAATTAAACTAATAAAATTTCATATATTAATAATAATGTGAGTGGCTTAATGGTTAACATCATGAGAAATGGAATCAACAATCTGAGTTCAAATTGAAACTTAGAGAGTTTGTGTTCACTTCACACATATCCCCCAGAGAAAAGCATGAATCCCACTCTATCCTCAGCTCTGGATAGAAGACATATCAACTATGTTGAGCACACCTTAGAATTTCTGGGAGAGAACACACAATCTGGTGTGATCAGTAGTTGAACAGAGCTAGTATGCTCAAACCTTTAGTCACTGACTTTGTGCTAGCAAAATCATCAACATCTTTCGAATAGTTTTGTCCAACCAATTTCACCCACCAGTCTTTGATCAACATGTAGTATGGTTTCCAGTATTTCCCAATGGTGTTGTATGTTGGAATCACCTCCCAAGGCCAGTATTATCAAGAAGTCACCTCTGTGACAAATTGACTATGGTTAGATTTGAACAAATCTAAAAATCTTTAAACAGGACATTTTTGTTGTTAGGTATATTTTTGTGAATGCTTACCTATCCTTTCAGTCTACCAGCTCTTTCACAAACAACACCTAAATTGTTGTTATAATACCATTTATTTCTCATATGGTAAGATAAGAACAAGTAGAGTACAATTCCAACATTCATAACATTTAATTTAAAAGAGGGCTCAATGCAAAGTAGAGCAATATTATGTTGATGCTATGTCATTGACTGCCAATCTATGGGTCATGACTCATTTATAAAAAAATAATTTCTTAATTTTTGCTTCTTTCCTTAGTTTAAATTTAATGTAGGTCATATTCAATTGGTTGATCTGAGTAAAGCCCACAACCCTTTTTTCATAAAAAGAGGTTGGATTTTTTAAATCTAAATAAACCATTCACTTGCTAGTAATTTACAATCACCTGATGAGATGCATTGATACGCATCAAAACAAGACTGCAATTATGTAGCGATTTTGACATGTTTTTGATGTAATATCCTAATATATATCTCTTCAATAAAGAGCAAATTGAAAATAAATTAGAATGAAAGTTAATGTCCTTTTTAGACAAATTCTAGTAACATTTTATAAGATGGAGAAAACCCAAGTCTTACTTTAAAAATGAATTTGTGTTCTCTGTGCTGTTTGTCAAAAAATAAAATTAAAAAACAAGATAGTCTACTTTAGCATGGCCTTGAAATATAATTTTTGCACTTTGCCCATCAGTCTTGATCAATCACAGCCTTTCTTACCCCAATAAAAGAACACTACTTTAGATGACATCAGGATTCTTAGTTCTTTGTTGGTGAAGAAAGTTGCTGTGCATTGTGAGTTTTGGATACAAATTTTTGATCCCTTTACTACCCTGACATTATTAATTTTAGATTTATGGCATGGGATTTTTTATTTTTTGATCTCCACTTCTCCATTGCTATTTTATCAGACTTATGATATCCATAAGTAAATTCATTTTATTATCTCTCTTAATGATCAGATGTTCTCTCCGTGAGTTTGGTAAATAAGTGTAAACATTTTATTTGTTTAAAATATTTTCTTACAAAAATACACATTTTAACTGAATCTTAACTGGATAACTACGGGAAAGAAAATTGTGAAAAGATTACCAAGTGACCTCACTCTTTATACTGTTGAGTAATGCATAAGGCATTACATATTATCATTTAATGTTTCCTTGAATTGGTGTTTTGTTTGTGATTGGGTGGGTGTATTGAAGAAATTACCATAATTGTGCTGTTAGCTGTCAATAATACAAACATATTGGGATCAGTAGGGTACCAGATTATAGATTTAATTAGATTCGGTAAACACCTTTAGTCAAATGACTTATAAATATCTCATGAATCATTACAAGTTTAAATAATAAAGGAACTTTACTGGCATAATACAATCAAATATTTAGGTTTTTTGTTTCTTGTTCTCTTTCCTTCATCTCTTTTTTTCCCTTTTCTCCTTTTAACTCTTTTTCTTCTCTATTCTCCCCTTCGTCTTTTTCTCTTCTCTATTTTCTCCTTCGTCTCTTTTTCTTCTCTATTTTCCTCCCTTCATCTCTTTTTCTTCTCTATTTTCCTCCCTTCATCTCTTTTTCTTCTCTATTTTCCTCCCTTCATCTCTTTTTCTTCTCTATTTTCCTCCCTTCATCTCTTTTTCTCTCTATTCTCCCTTCGTCTCTTTTTTTCTTCTCTTTTTCCCCTTCGTCTCTTTTTTTCTCTATTTTCCCCCCTTCGTCTCTTTTTCTTCTCTATTCTCCACTTCGTCTCTTTTTCTTCTCTATTTTCCTCCCTTCATCTCTTTTTCTTCTCTATTTTCCTCCTTCATCTCTTTTTTTTCTTCTCTATTTCCTCCCTTCATCTCTTTTTTTTTCTCTATTTTCCTCCCTTCAACTCTTTTTCTTCTCTATTTTCCCCTTCGTCTCTTTTTTTTCTCTATTTTCCCCCCTTCGTCTCTTTTTCTTCTCTATTTTCCCCCCTTCGTCTCTTTTTCTTCTCTATTTTCCCCCCTTCGTCTCTTTTTCTTCTTCTCTTTTTTCCCCTTCGTCTCTTTTTCTTCTCTATTTTCCCCTTCGTCTCTTTTTTTCTCTATTTTCCCCTTCGTCTCTTTTTTTTTTCTCTATTTTCCCCCTTCGTCTCTTTTTTTTCTCTATTTTTCCCCCCTTGTCTCTTTTTTTCTTCTCTATTTTCCCCCCCTTTGTCTCTTTTTTCTTCTCTATTTTCCCCCCCTTCGTCTCTTTTTTCTTCTCTATTTTCCCCCCCTTTGTCTCTTTTTCTTCTCTTTTTCCCCCCTTTGTCTCTTTTTTTCTTCTCTATTTTCCCCCTTTGTCTCTTTTTCTTCTCTATTTTCCCCCCTTTGTCTCCTTTTCTTCTCTATTTTCTCCTTCTTCTCTATTTTCACCCCTTCATCTCTTTTTCTTCACTATTTCCCCCCCTTCATCTCTTTTTGTCTCTAGTTCCCTTTATTTTTTTCTGCAGATAATCTTTTCAGTCTTATGAATAGATCATTATATGCAGTCTCCATTGCAAGAAACATTTTCCTTACTCATTGGAATCATTTCTGAGTTAAAAATGAGAAATTTCTCAGTTTCTGGCGTAAAGTATTTTCATTATTTTCAGCTATAAACATTAAGAATTTATGCTCAGCATAATATAGGAACTACTGCCTACTTTATGTCTGATGCAGTGCCAGATGTGTGTTAGTCTCTCCAGACACAGCTACACTTTGTTCTTACTTAAAAGATTTAATTAAAAAAAATCCAAAGAACATATCAACATTTTAAGAAACAAAAGAAAAACAAAGATACATGTAAAACAACAAAAAAAACTTGTGGAACAAATAATTTTGTAAAACAAATACAGACACTCAAAGATCAGGTTTTATTGTGAAAAGCATTTTCATATGTTTATTAGTTAGTTTTTTGTTATATTATTTTGTAATAATAAAAATAATAATTTTAAAGTTTTTGTTGGTTTTTTTTATTTATGTTGTGATGAATTTAACATTTCTAATGAAGATATAAAAACAAAGCATTGTTTTGATAGTAATCTCATGCACATGAAATTTAAAATCTGAAAATTTATAGATCTATTTTTTTTAATGCTTTGCATTATGAAGGTCATGTTCGTTTGTTTGACTAGAATTTCAATAGTCTTTTTCACATTTTCAAACTTGTACTCCTCCTTTGAATGGAATTTCCAAATTTAGACCGCCTTCCTCCTGTCATACTGACAGTTTTAAGATGCTGTCCTACATTAGACATAGAAAAAAAACTGGCTAGATTTTAGTACTTAGAATATTTTTTTATATTACAGCATGAAATAACATTCTTTACTTCATTTATGCTTATTTGAATGGTTATCTGCCCCTCTCTCTCTCTCTCTTTTTTATCCCTGTCTGTCCCTCTCTCACTCTTTGTCCCTGTCTGTCTCTCTTTTTCTATCCCTGTCTGTCACGCTTTCTAGATCCCTGTCTGTCACGCTTTCTAGATCCCTGTCTGTCACGCTTTCTAGATTTCTGTCTTTCTCTTTCTCTTTCTCTATATCCCTGTCTCTTTCTCTATATCCCTGTCTCTTTCTCTATATCCCTGTCTCTTTCTCTATATCCCTGTCTCTTTCTATATCCCTGTCTTATTCTCTCTAACCCTATCTGCATATCCATGTATCTGTCTCTTCTTTCTTATTCTTCTCTCTCATATAATCACTGCATTACTTTATCCATGTCTTGCTTTTTGTGTTTGTACTATTTTTTTAATTTCTGTCTAATATCCTTATCCTTGTACAGTTTTCTTCTTGCAGTGTCTTATTTCCTTTCATAGATGGCACATTTCTCTCTCTCTCTCTCTTTGCATCACTTTCTAACTGTTTATACCTACCCACTCTCTCTCTCACTTTCTTATTTGTATTATCCTTTACTTTCATTCTCTCTCTGTTAGATTTAACTTTGAACAACTAAATAAGGAACCCTGAATAATTTGATTAAGAGTACTTCAGTTGAAACAGATTCATGAAACTAACAAAGTAATTTTTTCTTCACTTAACAAAAGAATATAAATCACATCTACTATTTACCATGGCTTTTTACAAGACTGTCAACAAAGTTCAGTCCTTGTGACATATTCTTGGGCTTTAGCCACTTACTTTTCAGATATACATTTTCCTACTCTACAGCATTCAGTATTGTTCTTTTTTGATAATAGTCATTGCCAAAAATCAAACATGAAATACAGTACTTCAGATAGTCATTTATTAAGGTTGTCTTAACCCAGTGGTTCCCAAAACTTTTAATCTGGGCTGCATTCTCTGAATGAAAATTTACTCATGCCTCACAAAATTTTATGTGATAAAAAGTACATTAAAAAATAAAAAATGGATAGAGGGTTAAAGGAAAATAACTGCTGATTTGAAGTCGGAACATTATCATTGATAACACTCTCCTCCAACTTGCAGACCCTAGTTTCTATATTCTTAATGCTTAATATAATGCAAAAATATCATGATAAAATCAGTCAATAATTATTTATACCTATTTATACTGGGACTCATGCAGGTAATCCATAATATTTTAAATTTTCAAATCATATTTATTTTCATATGAATTTTTGAAAACTGTTTCAAAATATTTGATTGTCTTTCAATCATTCCACCTCACCTGCTATCCTCTTTCACTGCAGCTATGAGGAGCACTGCACCATTTCAGAACCACTGTGTTAAAACGGTTGGTTTGGTTTGTTTTACGGCATATCAACCTAAATGGTACTATTGGTTCCCAACTTTTTTTTTCCTCTGGGCTGCATTTTCGGAATGAAAATTTGCTCGCACCTCACCAAATTTTATGTGATAAAAAGTACACTAAAAAAAAAGAAAAAAAAAAAAACAAAAAACAGAGCAAGTGTTAAAGGGAGATAAATGCAGATTTAAAGTCAGAACATTATCATTGATTACTTTCTCCTCCAATTTGCATACCCTAGTTACTCTATTCT